ATAAAAGTATATGATGTAAAAGTTTTTTCATGTTAACATATTTGTTTAGCCCAGTGGGCTGTATTGTTCTAACCATTTATCTAGTTTAATTTGATTTTGTTTACTTCATTTATGGTTTAATTATTGTTTCAGTTGCCATCATCATCTTGTGTGTGTCATAATTGCTGGCGAAGGACTGATAGAGCAGCATCACATTCAACTGTAGACCGTGAAACCTCCGAACCATCTAGTCTGTCCTCGTTGCAATCTGAAGTAGCTAGCGATGTATTGCATCCGGAACAACAAAGCTTAGATACATCAGACAGTATACTGCTGCCTAATTATGTAAGAGCACCAATTACAGAAAATCAATGTTTTTTTCCTGGTTGTAATGATTCCCATTGACTCACTGTTACATCGATATTGCGAGTACGTCTTTAAGAACAGGAGAATGATGAATGATTCTGGCAGAAGTGCAATCAAAAAGTATTGTTGTAACTGTATTGTTGGCCGTCAAACGGTAGGATGTTGTGCCCATATAATGACAGTAATATGGTATTTGGGTTGGGCACGACATCAAACAAATATTTTTCCTCCAGCTCAATTCCTGGATGATGTACTAATTGTGTATGACACAAATGATGTATGATCATAAAATACCTAAGAACTACATATAACTTGATATTGTATGTGAGAATAACAATAAAATGATGAATAAGAAAAAAAAACTGTAGTTATTTCTGAAAATTAAAATTATTTTATATCTTAAAAATCCCGACTTTTTTTAATACCAATTCCTTAAACATTTCATTCTTTAAATTGTATATTATCATTTCCATATGCTTTTATATGTGTGCACCTAGGGCCAAAGTGTCTATGGGTAGTGGGCATTCCCCTTTTTGTTCTGATTCTGGGTATTTTTTGTGTTTGTATTATGAAAGTTTGTAAAGGATATCTTTCTTGTGCGGAATTTGTCTCTAAAAAAATATCTAGAAAGAGCCTCGTAATATACAAAGCGACTTTTGTAGGTCTTACCATCCCTGACAATGTCCAAAGCCTTTACAGTTTACAGACTAACAAAGGACAACCGTTTACCATTAGAGGGTTTCTTATGGGGGGGCATTCTCCCTGGTGGCAGATTAATTGCTGCGGTAAGGGAAAGAATGGCGGCCTGATAGCACAAAAAATGTGATCGGGCGGCAACATCTAGTGATAGGCTGATAGGCAGGAGAAGCTTCTGGCTTCTCCTCAGATACGACCCGTTAGGTGCGGCGTCGATCTGGGAGGGACCTGAAATCACATGGGTTCTCCCTAGAATAGGGCGTCTAAGGCTGACCGTCGAGGTGGTTTTTAGTGGAAACACCACATACTCTTTGCTTCTGTATCCCCAAAGAGCCGAAGATCGGAAGGGATTTTGCACCCTTCACCAAAAAAAGGGGGGTCTCTTATATCTTTATATTTTTGCCAATTTTAGATTTTTAAATAGAAAATAAAGTACCTAAATTCGTGAATTTTAATGATAATTTTTTTATGTAACATTCTGTATAATAACTGCCCTGTAACGTATGAAATCATTCCTATACAGAGTGTTCACCTAACTAGTATTACAATATGGTGACCTCCATAGAAAGCACAAAGACACCGATAAACATCATTAATTAGCATAGAATACGACACTCCAACAACACCATAATACTATCTACGGCGTCTTTATGTCAAGGACATAAGGGTTACAATCGAACGTTTTGTTTAGATAGGAGATAACACTTAAGCTTGATAAGACACCATAATGTACTTCGAGGTTTATATTTGGAAGTGAATGCATGAATTGTAGTCGAACACAGTACCTCGTTTGCAACAAGCCTTGATGTCAGTATGAGGTACGGGGACTATCTTTACATATCATAAAATGAAGTCCCCGGCCGCGTCTGTCTGTCAGTATGAATGCGATAAACTCAAAAACGACCGAACGGTTTTTCATACGGTTATCACTTATTACTAATAGATAGTTTGATTCCTGAGGAATGTTTAGGTGTATAATTCATTATGGTTTTATGTAAATTGACTGATTTGAATACCGATTATTGTTGAAGAGGTCGCAAAAAAAACTTGCCTGCTATACCGAGCTTCACTAAGCCAGCTAAGATACATTAAAGTAATATACTAAGATATATTCAAATAGGCTGTTGATGATGAATATACTAGAGAATTGTAGATCTACAATAATGCTACAAAAAAGTACGCGATAGCATTTCTCTATCTTCTACAGTTGACTCAGAATAACTACTTTTATGTTAAAAATATTACGTTCATCATCATCAATCATCAACAGCCTCTAATAGTCCACTGCTGGACTTAGGCCTCTCCTTAGAAAGGAGATTTTGGCCTCCTATTCCACGCTGGCCAGACGGGTTGGTATAGGGTTTGTTGCAAGTTTTCCTTCTTTTTGCAGTGCTGTTATCCTGTGCAGTTTGTTCCCTTAATCCACGGGATGAATAGGGGTGGTGACATTCCGTATTTTTAATCCGTCACCACACGGAAAATACACACACAAAAAATTACGTTATATAGCCCATATTCTACCTCGACATAAGGGCTATCCAAAACGTGCATGCATATGCAGCATGCATATATGATATCATGTCAAGACCTTTAGAAGCCGAGTATCAATATTGCGAAAACGGGCAAAATTTATTCCTTTTGAGAGAATCAGAAGAAGTTGCGGGGGTAAGCTAGTAAGTAAAATTAGTATTGGACCCACGGAATATGGGGTCACAACTTGTAGTCGAAATAAACAGAATGGACATAGTTGCATAATGGATAAAATATTATTTTGGGCACAAACCTAAAATACTAATTTCATAAGGCATTTCATTCGAAATCTATTCGATTTAAACTTTACAGCATCTTCAACCGCACTTAGCTCTCAGCAGTCACGATCACCCTTTTAAAGCCTAACCTTGATACTAGATGGCGCTCATTCGATGGTTTCAATTCGAGGTATCAATTTTTTCTCAGCTTTTATTTAATGTTTAGTGATATATATTCCGTGAGTCATTTGATGGCGCGCATCGATTTAAATTGAAGATATGGTTTGGTTGCGAAGAGGTGACGGTGAGGTCAAGGTGAAGATTAAATGTAATTCTTCTACACAGGTATACCTGTTTTAATTATTGGCAGTGGTGATTTGCCGTATTTTTGGATTACCCTGTCAACGCTTAATCAAAGATCTCGACAAGCACGAGATTGATACAATTATAAGTAGTGTATAGAGTTCATTCATAGGCGTATCCAACTTTCGTCCCAAAGGGACGGGGGAACTATTTGACTCCCCAGTCAAATAGTTCTAAATAGACAAAACAGTGTAACTATATCAAAAGAGGTAAAAACATAACAAAAAAAAGTCTTGTCGTCCAGATACACAAAGACATCAGCCCTTAGAAAGTAGTGCTGGAAGTGGACATACATCCGTGTCATTAACTCGCCACCATCTTGCAAGAAATGCTTCTGAGCACATATTCGCTACCTTGGGCGTCAGTTATAGTTGAATATGGCCAAATTAAAAGAGAACACTTTAAAAAAAGAACTTTCCGAATCGGTTTCTGAATAACGGAATCAGTAACATAATATAAATGCAGTTGAATTGAGAAGTATCCGTGTGGTGACGGATTAAGAATACGGAGCGTCACCACCCCTGTTCATCCCGTGGGTGTCGTAAGAGCCGACTAAGGGAGCAAACTACGCAGGACAACAGCGCTGCAAAGAGAAGGAAAACTTGACACAAACCCTATACCAACCCGTCTGGTCAGCGTGGTATAGTAGGCCAAAACCTCCTTTTTAAGGAGAGGCCTATGTCCAGCAGTGGACTATTATAGGCTATTGATGTGATGAATTAGGAACATTCTCTTTCTCTTTCCTTCTTATGTGAACGAAGCTTTTTTTTTAAGTTAAAACAACGAGAGACTAATCCTTTCTGGTGATGTCCCTCCCTTTAATTATCGTAGAGTTAAAGACGGGTCAATGATCGATTCTTTAATCTAATCTTTTGTAGAAATGGTCATACAGATAATCAACACAATATGTCAAATGTAAAACTCAAACAATTGGCTATTTTGATAATCTGTTCGCTCACAAGCTCTTTACTCAGTCAATATAATAGTTTCATTGTTCAAAATCTCAGTTTTATCAATAAAATCAAGCATACACAATGAGCTCTTTGTGGGCCACATAGAATTCACTATTGTAAAAACCAAGGCTGTATTTAATCCTAAGAGATGAATATTTTCAAAAAAATTATTAAATAGAGCCACCTTCGCTTGTGTTGTACAATTTTAATTCATTATAGAACTTGGAACAAAACCTTTGAATAGTGAAATTTCTACCAGACACTGTTTTTTTATGTTATAGGCGCAAACGAGCAGATGGGTCACATGATGGTAAGTGATTAACTCAAAAGCCACAAGAGAGTTGACGACCATTGAGTCCTATACCCTAGAACCAGACTATAGTGGCTATGGTGTTATCACTCTCTGCTCTCCCACGAAAAAACCTGCGGTATCCTTTACCCTATACTCCTGCTCGTCTCGTCTGGATATATGGCCTGTCCTGGCCCTGACCTCTTTTAGATACCACAGTCGGAGATAACTTTAGGTTCGCTAGAGACTAGTCATTTTCATATTAGAATGCAGGTAAATAGTCAAACTCAGTAATGGAGCTCATGGTTGCCATACTGGTGTTTCTCTTATAACACTACTGTACACTCAAGTACAAAATTTACACCTTATGAATTAGTATAGTCTGGTTTCCCTATCCGAAGTTCCCAGTATCTATTGTTCCTAACCTAATTGATCTTCTTTGTCCTGTTGGATAACAATTAAATTCTCAAGGTGGGTTGGATGGTACCCAAGCATCAAGCATGCAGTTGGACTTAAAAGAACCAAGACATTGCACGGACCCTAAATAAAGTATAGGCTAGTTTGAAGGCTAATGATGTTTCTAGAAACAACATATAATAAACTCACCTTTCCTTTGTATGATAACTCTGAGCAGTGGTCGTGCAGTAAGCAACGCTCTGGCTAAATTATCGTCATTATTTATAGGCAACAGGTCTCCGTCCCTAGGGTCTGTGTAGGATATTAGGAAGGCCACATCTTGCAACCTGTTTAGCTTCTCTATCAAGGCTTTGAAGTCCTCATACTTTAGCTTCTCTGTGCGACTTAGGGAGAATCGACGGAATTCTGCATCGAACTATAAAAGAAATACAATGTCAATTAATAATAATAACTTCACCCATCTTACATATAGCAGTCTGGTTCCAAATTAGGTGGACAGACTATTGGTCCTGATGTCATAATAACAGTGGTGTAACAGAGTGGCACACCGTGTGGTTTTAGTCAGTCCGATTCCAACACACCACCCCGCCACAAACCCCAGTGAGGTGACGATGGTTACCAGACTACTGATAAATTCAACTGAGTACAATACTGACTGTCTGATTTACTTATATATTTTCATTGCGCTAGCCAAATTCCACATGCATTTTTTTTTTTTTCAAAACAAGTTTTATCAATTCAATGTGTTTTGATTGAATTATAATATGATGATAGTTAACACCTAAATACTTATTAACAATGTTTTTACTACCACTTTACCACTAATCATCATCATCACTAGCCTTTAATGGTCCACTGCTGGTCTATAGGCCTCTTCTTAGAAAAGAGGTTTTGATGTATAGGGTTTGTTTCAAGTTACCACTAATAGGAATGGAGTATCAAATAGATTGGATGCATTTTAAACAAATAAAATAAATACATTTCTTTTAAAGTTTTGAAAAAATGACACCTATCTTTATTTGTATGAATAACAGGATCGTTGAACTAGAGGTTAGTAATCCTTATTACTGCATGAGTTTGATTCCCAACCAGTTCAAATAATTTGTGATGAGGGCAATCATCTGTTCTATATATAGGTTTAATTTATCTCTAAAACATATGTGAAACTAGGGGAGTTTCACCTATGTTTTAGTCACAGTTTTGCTCTTCATCCATAATAGTTTTGATACACAATGTATGAAAAAAAAAAAAAACCATCACTTTTTTCATGAATTTTAATATATTTTAGTAGTTATCTGCTATTTAGGTTAGAGGCAAATCCCAAAAAATCTAATATGTAAAGAATTGTCCAGTGGTTCTTAAGTTATATATGGTGTATTGGATTATGGTGTAACTAACTCATTTTTGTTTTATCTTTAAGATTTGGATGTATTTTCCAATATATTTGTATTAGAAAGTTTATCAGTAGTCAGTTTACCATACCGTAACAAGACTGTCTAGTTAAATCAGACAAACATATGCAATTGTCAGTTAAATATCTAACTCTATGAAAAATGGTTATGGAGGAGAATGACTTGTAGCCAGTATGCCTATATGAGAACAGAAAGAAATGTTTTACTCAGTACCTAATAAGTATGAATTATCAATCTTTACATTACTAGTATTTATGTGTTTATTTGATAATTACTTTATAGAAATTGAAGGGCAACAATAGAGATAATATATGCAATTGAAAATCAAGTACAGCAGGTTTCAAAATATTTTTAACATCTTTTAGATGTACTTTTAAAAACTGTTTCACACCCGAAAACATTTTTATAACAAGAAATATCACTCAAGTCTTACTTTGGCATACTTCTTCCTTATAGTAAGCTTCAAACCTGTGATTTTTTCGCGTTGTTACTTAACACGATGCGAACGTCAGCCCATCCAAAAAAAAACTTAACTATGACAAATTAGTTTCAACAACTAAAACCCAGATCCAGAATTTTATAATCGGTTAGAAACTTTGTGTAATTCTTTAAGTATGCTAAAGAAATTAGAAATCCCTTCCCACTTACCTTAGTTTTAACTTCCACAGTTTGACTGTCAATGCGAGCCGCAATTTTATTTTTCGACATTTCGAAAGCATTTATTATAAAACACTACCACTAATAAAACTATTCACAAAATATTTAGGCACTTAATTTCAAACACAACATTATAAAATAACAATTATTGTATTAAATTCTTTATATGACGGTGTCCATTCCACTCGCGTCGTAATTCTGGTTAGTCAGTTCTCGGTTTCAACATTTTTTATATATTAGTAATAGCTGACGTTCAGTTCACCAATGGCCAGAATTCTCTTTATTTATTTTTATTCAGAAGCCGTTTACCATTGGCTGCTTTAGTTAAAGACACGTAAATCAAATAACGACAGTTGTGTCCACGCTTCATTTAACGCATCAATTGATGATATAAACAAATTCGTTATATATGTAGCCATAAATCTATCTAATATCACAATATTTCAACATATTTTTAAATTCTATGTTACCTTAACTTTTCAATTTTTTTTAAACTAAAAGGAACGATTGAATGAAGTCAACTCGTGACCATAATGTCAGTTACTTCGTGACATTTACTTAAAGGCTGGGACCAAATATTCTACTCCGAGCTGATACAAAACTGCCTTACTTATGATATGATTGTGTGGACAATCATCCTGCGCTTTATAACCAGTCTATTCAAGGTCCAGTCTTTTTGACGATGATGATTAATAATTTAGGAATACGGAATGGGTTTTCTTCTCACAGACTGTATTATTAATACCGAGTAGAGTAGAGGCAAACGTGAAGATGTATGATGATAACGCCCGTGTATGTCTGTAGAAAGATAATAAACGTCAGACTGCTGCCGTGATAACCTCACAACAGTAGTTAACCCAAGACCTATTGCTTAGCGTTCTGTGGATTCACTGTGCGGGCGCCGGGTCCATCACGTGATAGATGGGGGCAACACATGCGACTTAAGGAATAGTCCTTGCGACGCGTCTGCACTCACCTCCACTGTCTACCCCCTAAACCTAAACCTGTGTGTTACCCCCTAAACCTAACCATATTTGATACGAGGCGTACAATGCCGCTTTGGATATTCGTTCAAGGAAAGAGCTTACTGAAACTCTAGACAGACCAAGGTCTTTAAGCTATAGAGGTCTTTAAGCTTAGGTTGTAGAGGAATTTAGCTGGTATACCCCTCGCACCCACTTCCACGGTGTCGCATGCAACGAAATAACCATTTTTAGTTATTTCGTTGGTTAAGTCAAAGTACTTGCTTTTTACGTCACCGTGAGTTATACTAGTACTACCCGCTTAATTAACATTTCATAAAGAAAGATATCTTCCGGTGTTCTGTAATGATTTTCTTATGTGTCCACTAATAATAATTAATTGAGTACGGTTTTTAGAAGTCTTTTTTGTTGAGTTGTATAGATTATATGATTTGTAATACCCTATCATGGAGATCCAATGAATAACGACCCAGGTCTAATAGTGCCATATCAGTAAGTTACAACATGTCAGTAAGTGCCTGGCTGTACCTATTTCCGCACGACACATCGTGCAAGCCTTTGCTGTAGCTTTCCACCATCTTAATAGGTTGCTTTGATCGCAGGGAGTTAATTGAAAGGTATTGCGGTAAATCGTACAAAAGTGTGCGCCATTTCAAGACTGGTGGGATACAAAGTATTAGTATTATGATAATAGGTCTTTACCTATGAAATTGCCGTTTTGTATGCAATAAGTGAAAGTACTTATTTTTTCAAACTTTTTTATTTCTGTTATTCGAAGTAATCACCCATGCAATCGACGCATCTTTGCCAACGCATTGGCAGTTTATTGATGCCCTTCTTGTAAAAATCAGCTGGACGGGTGGCAACAAACTCTTTAAAGGCATTTTGTACTGCCTCTCGGGAATTGAATTTTTTACCCACTATAAAGTTGTCGAAATTTTGGAAAAAGTAATAGTCGGTAGGTGCAAGGTCTGGTGAGTATGGCGGATGAGGGAGAGCTTCCAACCCAGCTCTTGCAGCTTGGAGACTGTCTGTTGCGCAGTATGGGGTCGCGCGTTGTCGTGAAGGAGCAGTGGGGACGACCGATTGACCAAAGGTGGTTGCAGATGTGCAAGCTTCTCCATCATTCTCTCCAGTTCTTCACAGTAAGTACACATCTGCATTAATGCTCATGCCGTTTTGTAAAAAGCTGTAGTGAATCACACCCGCAGACCACCAAACAGGTTTAGGGATTGCTTTGGTGCTTAACCAGGGCCTAACCAACTTGCTGAGCGCTTTCGATTGTCGAACAGAATCCATTTTTCGTCGCACGTAACAATTCGTTTCAAAATTCTTTCATTCCTTTGCCTGTTCGCGCGTTTGCCTGTGCGATCGTTAAGCTCGTGGGGCACTCATCTATCAAGCTTTTTTACCTTGCCAATTTGTCGCAAAATGGATCAATATTGTTTTGATGCTTACATTAAAAGCTGCTGCTAGCTCAGTTGTAGATTGAGCTTCGTCAGCTTCCACAATCGCCTTTAATTCATTATTGTTAACCAAAGTCTCTTGACGACCACGAGCTTCATTTTTCAAGTCAAAATTTTCAGAACGGAACCGGGAAAACCAATAACGGGTTGTGCGTTCGTTTGTACAGTTCTCTCCGTAAACGCTTTTGATGTTACGTGCCGTTTGTGTCGCGTTGGTGCCATGACGGAACTAATATTCCATAATTACACGAATTTTTAAAGTATCCATTATGACGAAAAATGTTCGAATGTAATGAAAATACAACACTAATCAGAAAACAAAAGACTGAGTTTGTAAATAGAATTTCATGATTTTAAAACAAAATTAATTTGAATTTAGAATACAGAGCCATTACAAACTTTTTTTTATTTGAAATGAACAGTACTGAAGAAAGGCAATTTCATAGGTAAAGACCTAATATTTGGGTGTGTTTAGTGTTAGTATTATAATATTTACTTTTATTTCTAGAATTATATTTCCACAAATCGGCACGGAAAAACATAGAAAGTCGAGGACGTTGACTCATCTTGTAGCACTTTCAGCTTGGCTTGCCGCGGCCACAGCAATTTTCGATATTAGCAGATCTAGGTGCAACAGGTGTAGATAGTTATACAGGGGCAACAGCAGGTCCTTTCCGCAAGTCCTTTCAATGTCAGGGTGTGCGTTTCTACATTGAAATTCCAAGTAAATTTCATGAATAAGGTATTAACAAATTTAAGTCATTAGTTATTAGTAGACTTGCAACGAATATTCGGTTACTATTCGGTATTCGGCCTATTGGCTGCTTTTATTATATTCGGCCGAATACCGAATATCTACATATTATTCGGCCGAATACCGAATACTTAAATAATATATTTTGTCATCGAGAAATAATTGGTAAAATGAAAAATTAAAATCGATTGATTACGTATATATTCATATTTTCATTTCTGTTATAATCATTTAAGTAGTCATTGGTGCATAACACAGGTACATAATCATCTTCTGAATAGGAAAAATGGAGGATTCTATGTATTTGAATTATTGTGGTAATCAAAATTTAGAAGGGTAAGGTTCTCATTTCTTTTATAATCATTTATTAAGTAGTAATTGGTACATAAAACAGGTACATAATTTAATTCACGTCTGTACAAGTTTTTGGCGCTAAAATCCAGCCGAATACTTTTGCCTAATATTCGGCTATTCGGTCAGGGGCCTCGCCGAATATTCGGTATTCGGTATACTGCCGAATATACTATTCGTTGCAAGTCTATTTATTAGTCAATTAGTAAAACAAAAACGTCAAAAAATGTGAAAATGCCTACTGGGGGTTGTAGTAGCCATTATTTCTAATTCTATTTAAATCCAATATCTAACCATTTGCAAGATATAGGACTTTCCAGATTTTTATAAAATTAATTTAAAAAATATAAAGTTTTAGATCTTAAATCTTTTTTTCGTTGTTTTTTTTTAATTTTTTCCTGTCGTTGCTACATTGTTTTATTCTATACATTACCAAAATCGTAGGTAACTTTAAAAAAATATAATGTCAGAAAACTACGTGTTTGCAACTCAGCTGTTGCATTTTAGTTTTATTATCAAACCAAACCAAACCAAAATACGTCGAAATATCTCGGTTGGCATTTTTTTTTCAAACATCTATCTAGTCGACTCCTTTGTCTCGTGTAGTACGTAAATGTGAGTAAATGTTAGTTTATATTCTGGTAACTTTGTGGTGGTTTTGAGTGTTTCCACCTTCGATCAACAATAGCAACTAGATAAAGGGTCACGTACAAAGTCAAAGCTAAATGCTGTCCGCGTGAATATATACTTATGCAGCTACATTTGTTTACCAACAAACGGATGGAAAAGTTTTAAAATAGTTTTAAGTTCAACCTAATTACAACTATGGTACACAGTAATAAAGTCACAAATCTTCAAAATATTATCTAATACTTACGATCATTCCTTGCAAAAAACAAGCAAAGCAATAAATTACTCCTATCACTTTCAAATGAAAAGACATAACTTAAATAACATGTAGTGTAAAATCAACCTTATGGTGCAACAAATAAAGTACTTTTTCTCGTTATTGCCTTGAGAGCTACATCGTTTTGTTTTGTTTTATTTTTGCTTCTTCTAGTTTTACTACAGGAGGTATGGAGTCGCGTTGAAACCTAAAATAATTTATAATATGAACGTAAAATATTAGTTGCTTACTTTTTATGTTTCGGACATCTATGTATGTTTGTTAGTATCTTTACATTACTTATTATTTTATTAACGTTACGTTTTTGTGTAATATGTATGTGTATTTACTTTCTTTTTGCAAATACCACATTATATGTGAATGTGGTATTTGCAAAAGCTATTTAGACGGATACAGTATTTATCGTTATCAAAATAAATACGTTAGTTATCTTAAGCAATTCATACACATTATAATAGCCCCTTACACCATACAATTTAAATGAATATGTTAGGAGATATCTTAAATTAAAAACTACGCGCAAATTCGCGAATAAAACTCATCCAAACCAACAAGCTAATGCAAAAAAATGTAGGCATTTAATGCTTTAAGCGACCCGCCCTGACACCAAAAGCAGGATAGATATACTAAATAAAATATATATAAAATTAACCAACCAATTTTGAAGTTCTGTTAAGAATTTTTATTTGTAACATTAATTGATAATGACAATAAGCAGTCTTTAATTTAGGACAAGAACGAAAATATTTTTTGTGAACTACCCTTATTCAAAGGGTGTTTGAATCCAAAGTCCTTAAGATTTCTAGTATTTAGGATATCAAAAAGATCATTTAGTATCTTAATAAATTCTACTGTGCATTCTGATTCTCTAAATGCGCTAATATTTAAGGTTTTATTACAAAAGTCTATAGCTTAAAAGTCTATAAGTCACTAGCAAATCTACAAACAAAAATAACATTACAAAATAACAACACTACTCCAAGCATTCCCTGTTCAAGAACAGTCGATGTTTGATACAATAATTGGTGCGCTGTAGCAAACATTGGCCAAACAATTATAACATTCGCTAATTGAATTTTATTTACAGTTTAATTCTGTTTATACTTATTATATTATGAAAAAAAACTTATTGATATTAACTTACCGAAAAAAAGATATTCCTTGCAAAAACTTGGTGTTACGGTGGTTATTTACACAGTTTTTGATCGCGCACTGCGGCATTTTGACGTCCTATTGTTGGCTATGATTGGACCCTACTAATTTGAAATAAGAGCACAAACACTTTTGTGCTCTTATTTTTCGGGCCGTTTTTGAAGCGCTTATCGGAAATCTAGTACTATTATTGATCGAAGGTTTCCACGGCCTACTCAAATGTCCTGCTGGCGGGTTGTTGATCTTGACTATATTAGTTAGGCTACACGATGGCTGGGGCCCCTGTGCCGTTTGTAAGGACAGGCCGGCTCAAAGCTGTCCTTTCTTCTTTTGAACCAACCAACCTAGGCCCTATACTGCACTAACATAGTACTGCACTAAAATAGTTCTATTTGACATAGTATACGGACTTAAAAAAAGACACCTCTGTGTTTAACTCACTATTTCCCACAGTGAGTCAACCACGCCGAAACACGGCGTTTCTTCCCGGAGTGAGTCTTAGGAAATGCCAGTGCCTTCTATTTGTAAAGTCCGACTTTTAGAAACTGAATACTTACATGCAGAAATAAATATCATTCATCATTTGTGATAGTTGCGTATAGTAGTAGTAGGTATAGGAGTATGGTTATTACCCTTTCTTGTTTCCTTCTATGTTTGTATCAGGCATGGTGGGCCTTGATACACTTGAGCTTAGGCGAAACTTTAACCATATTGTGCACTATTTGTTGCTAATTCACGATAGGGTAGGCAATCCATCGGTGCGTGAATGCATTAATTTGTATGTACCAAATAATTACTTGCGCGGTTGTCGTCGCCATCACCGACTCCTGACTTATCCTACAACGTGGCGTCTCCCACAAGCTGTTAGTAGCCCCACGGGAAAAGCTATCCAACTAATTAATGTTTTTTTGCAAAGTAATGTAGATGCAGACATATTTTTTGACAGCTTACCCAAATTAATGCAAAATGTAATGATCTTTTTAAATACTCATAAATAACTGTTACCTGTAATGTACTCTGTATAGCTATTAATATTTATTGACATCTTGTAAATTTTTATGACATCTTATTGCTTTAATTCTTTATTTCATAACATTTTATTATTTCTGTGTGATTGTATGAGTTATTAATTATTTGTAATTTATATAAATAATTTAATGTATTGTTTTGTATTATGATCTGTGGTCTGTATATCTGATCCAATGTAGTATAGCATATAAGCGTTTTGGTTGTGGGACTGTGAGCTTGTAATGTTACTTAAATAAAATAAATAAATAGAAAAAAAAAAGCTTTATAGAAGAAAGTTTGTTCAAAATAAATCGATGAACGATTTCATTTTTCTATAGATATCATTTTTTTCTGAAACATCAAAAAAGTTTTTATCTCGGAATCGCAGATACTGGCTTTTTGTGATGTTGCAGCACAGTTTAACTTTGACAGACGGACGGTCATCCGTCATTTTATGAATGACAAAAACATAAATATTCCAACAAATTGAAATTATTATTTATTTATTTTCTGATAGAATAATTTATAAATAAGTAATAATGACTAAACAAGTAAATAAAGATGCAGAACGGTTAAACCCATGTCTTAAGGTTATTCGTTCTTTAAAATCGATTTTTGAAGAAAAAATAAATAACATTATATAACAAATCAATTATTTTGCAGGAACAGGAACAGTCTTATGCTTGCCTAAGTAAGAATAATTATGATCAATCTAAATGCGAAAAGTTCTTCGATAATTATAACATATGCAAAAAGTTCTGGGTAAGAAATGAACCTCATCAGTATATTGTGAGGTTTTGATCTTCATATCTCAATACATTTCACACGAAAAGCGTCTTTCAATGTTGAGATATGAAGGCATTTTTTGAATGAACTCTGTGTCATCTAGTGATCATCTTTCATACCAATTCTGTGATATTTCTTCGTTTTTTTTAATAATCCTATTTTACACTACTAAAACATCAGTATAAGGTAGCTGGCACAGTGAATAGGAACACACCTTTTCTCAGAATAACTCTTAATATAAATAGTTTGGTACATGGATTTGGTAAGTTATTTAATTATCTTGTCTTAGATTCATCACAACATTCTAAGATGCTATGAAAATTGGCCCTCATTTTAAAGATTTTCATTTGTGATTGTCAACCATGACTTAATATTTCATTAAAAATGCACCCAAATATAACTTTACACTTTGCTATTGTATTTTTTTTTTCAGGGCAAAGTGTACACTGACAGAAAAACCAAAGGATTATATCCTTATATGCCTCACATTGAAGATAGAGAAAAAATAAAACAGCAATATTTCGACAATGTTAAAAATCATTGACATAATGTTATTTGTTAGAAATATAAATAATTTACAGGAAAGTTAGTGACAGTAAAATTGCATTTATTTTTTTAATGTTTTCTTTAAATTTTATATTTACAGTACTTTCAAAATCTATAGAATAAAATATAGTATCTACATAAGATAAGAGAGAGAGAGATAAGAGAGAATAAGAGTTCAGTAAAAATTTGATTATGGTCTAAGATCCCGCTGCAGAATTCCAATGTTCATCAAGTATTTTATCAAAATTAAAACAGTTATAAAAGGGGGAATAAGTTTTGGCAGGGTTGCCTATTAATGTGTCCACTAGTATTTTCTGAATTAAATTAATATGGCTTTTAGGAAGAAATTTAATTAACCTGTTATTTAAATAAACTGCACTCTATAGACATATCTGTAGAGAACTCAGACGTAGAACAAAATATAAACGATAACATTTCTGTAAATTAAACTATATGTGCCTATTAAAAAATGACCGAAACTAGGTGTTGCCAGCTGTTGAAGATTAATTCAGAGCTAACGAGAGTTAGCGCGCTACATCATTTAGACAAGGATCACTTCATCCAGCAGCTCGACTTTATAACGTCATTGTACATGCATGGGTAGTTAGTGTTTTCAAGGTACGGCGCCAGCACAACTTACGTGAATTGCAAATACTCCAAAAAAAAAAATAATTAAATTGTAATGTGATTGCATTTTAAGTTCTAGAAACATGAAAAAATCATTTATTTAAGATTTTTATTAAAGTAATTACTTAGCTATTTAGTAAATATTTTTGAAATATAAAAATGAAATGAAATATTTAAAAAATGATTAAATAATTCAAACTCAAATTGAAATTTTGCATCACCTTCATTAGTCCAGAGTAGTCAAGGAGCGGCCAGGAAGTGCTCGCCGAAGTCTATCGGCGAGTGGCTGACTCCCGGGCGGAGAGCGGATTTCGCCCTCCGCCCGAGGATGTGCGCGAGTGGCGCGAAGCCGCTCGCCGAGCCACGATGGCTCGTTGGTCGTTCCGGCTGGAGACTCCACGCGCTGGCTTCGCCGCCGTGGAGGCTCTCCAGCCGGTCATCGCCGAGTGGGCAGGGCGGCAGCACGGGACCCTTACCTTCCGGCTGACGCAGGTGCTTTCCGGGCACGGTTGCTTCGGAAAGTACCTGCACTCGGTCGCTAGGAGGGAACTGAGTCCCGCCTGCCACCACTGCGACTGCAGTGAGGACTCGGCCCAGCACACGCTGGCGGTCTGCCCCACATGGGCGACGCAGTGGCGGGCCCTCACTGCAGTCATCGGAGTGGATCTCTCGCTACCGGCCGTAGTACGCTCCATGGCCGGTAGCGACAGTTGTTTTACCGCGGTCGCAACCTTCTGCGAGGAAGTAATCTCGAAGAGGGAGGCGGCGGAGAAGGCCCGGGAGGACGACCTCCACTCGGACCCGATCCGCCGCCGGCGTACCGGGCGGCGGAGGCGCGCCTATCATCGCCTCATGCCGCCCTGAGTGTGGCCGCGGGTGGACGGGGTGGGTTTCCCTCCACCCGCATTAGTTTGGCCAGCCGCGAGGGGGCGGCGTCCGCGTGTGCCGGACGTCGCCTAAAGAGAGGAACAATTTTGAGACGGGGCCCGCAACTGGAGCGGGCCGGCGCTATGAGGGGTCCGGATGTCTTAATAACAGCTGTTCCCGGATCCCTCCTGTTACAGGCGCAGAGTGGCAAACCGTGTGGTTTTAGTCGGTCCGAGTCCGACACACCACCCCGCCGCGAACCCCGGTGGGGTGACGGTCCGAGGAGATTTCCACACGTTAAAAAAAAAAAAAAAAAGAAAAGGTACCAAGGTAGTAACAAGACGCGCGCTCATTCGTGAAATTTTACATTTCAAGACTCTCTTAAAAATACTTTCGCCATGTTGTCCGCATAGCCGTTCCGCTACACAACAGTAGCGTATTTCACCAATATATGTTTTACCTCAATGCTATAATTGCAGCACTATATGCCATCCCAGTAATCTAGTGCTGTGAATGTGTGTTGATACTTATTAACCTACCTACAGTCTTGGATCACTCTACGTAGACACCTTGCATATTACGAAGACACCTTGGATATTACGATGCCGTGTTAATTATGACAAGAAAAAACTTGGGGCACACATTCACCACTGCACCTGTGCGAAGTCGAGTCGATCTTGCTAATATTATTAACAAAAATACATCATCATCATTATCAACAGCCTCTACTAGTCCACTGCTGGACATAGGCCTCTCCTTAGAAATGAGGTTTTGGCCTACTATACCACGCTGGCCAGACGGGTTGGTATAGGGTTTGGGGTGCTGGGCTAGAAAACCTCCTCGTGGTGCACCCTGGAAACGCTGGCGATGGTACTGTTCCCTCCTTGTCCTCTTGGAGGAGAGGATTATCGCCAGCGGCCAATATTCTAGCAGAAGAGGCAGCCGTTCATCGGCTCTCGGGCAAGGCCTGGTCCAGCAGGGTGGGCGTGTCTGCCGGTTGCCCTGCTGGCTCTTCGCTCTTCGGAGCATGGAGGAGGAAACCTCGGTAAAAAACCTGATGGCGGGGCCCTGTAGGGGCCACAGTTTCTCCGCTGACAGCGGTGGAGAAAGGAGGACGGGCTCGGCGTGTACTCACACTACCACCGAGCAGGCAGGGGGACGTAGTCTCCCTGTCAACCGTCGGCATATCGTAATCCCGAGAAGAGCGCTGTGGTTAAGTCTCGCGGCTCTGATCGGGGGCGAGGGTCTTGGCTTAACCGCCCGGACCGCGAGGAAGATAACCTCTCTAAAAAATTCCCCGAATCCCGTGTTCTGGTGCGTGGCCAGGGGATGCATGGCTGATGGGAAGTTCAGTGAGCGCACTCCAAGCCGAGGTACCTGCGGACCCCTCGGTTGGGTTAAAAACTTACGCTTGCCCGGGTAATGGGGGATCTCTGCCCGGGTGGACCTTTTAGTTCTCCCCCACTCGTGGGATTTATTATGAATTTGAATACAAATAAAAATATAAAGAAACGGACACAAACGGAAAACAAACAAAACCAGGCAAGCAAAACGGACACTGAAACAAAAGGTGCAAGGGAGAAGAGGAACAGTGGAGTCGATGGGTCGTCCACTGAGGGTGAGGTGGCATCGGGAACGCCCATCTCGATGGGGCTCCCAGAAGTCAGTCTGACTCTGATCTCTGGGAGCCGAAGAGCATCGGATCGGCTGCGTTCCGGATCCGCCGCTTCGTCGGATGGCGCGGAGGCCATGGAGGCGGAACGAAGCGACAGCCGGAAACGCGGACGCTCCAGGGACGAGGAAACGGATACGTCCCAAGAAATGATGCCACCAAAGGTGGCAAGCAGCCGCCGAGGGAGGCAACGTAAACCGGCCTCGGCCTCGGTCTCGACCCCGTCAGGCTCCGCGTTCTCAAACGCGGAGTCCTACAGAAGTGTACGGGTGGACGGCGAGGCCGTAGCGGAGGAGGAGATCGCGGATCTCCTGCTCAAGGTTCGGGAGCCGGTGGGGGGAAATGCCCCCCAGGCTCCCGTGTCCGTGCAGGAGAGGGCGAAAGCGGCGGTGGCCGTCATCAACAAGGTGGCCACCAAATCCGTGAACCTTAAGGGCTCGTTTGTGAGGGCCCTTAAGGACTCCTCCTCCGCTTTGTCGGAGGTCGTGGAGGGCCTAGCGGGCGACGTCTCTCGCCTGCAGGTGGCCAACGAGAAGCTGACGGAGCGGGTGAACGAGCTGAGCGCTCAGTTCGCCCGCTTCCAGGCGAACCTCCCCGAGCGGGAAGCCCCGTCCGCGTCCCAGCCTGCCCCTACCACCAACTCAGGGGCATTTGACTCCCAACTGCGAGAAATCCTCATCGCAGTTGGGAATATGCTGGACGGACGCCTGGCTGGCCTGGAGGCGAGATTGCCTCCTGCGCCGATTATGCGCCCCCCGCTCGCGTCGGCACAGCGGCCTAAGGCCGCCGCTCCGACCGCGCTCCCCGTAGTGGGAGGCCGCGTCTCCTACGCGGCGGCGGCGTCTGCCCCGACTCCATCGGCTCCCCAAAAGCCGAGGAGGGGGGCCAAGGCACCGGCCCAGGCGCCGGCCAAGGCACCGGCCCAGGCGCCGGCCAAGACGGGGCCTAAAACGGCGCCGAGGAGCGGAGTGGCATTCCCTCCGCTCCCCACTCCGACACCCTTGCCGGGCCCCTCCGCACCTGCCCCCTCCAACGAGGGTTGGCAGGAGGCGAGGGGCTCCAAGAAGTCCCGAAGGCGGGCCAAAAGGGCTGCCAAAAAAGCAGCCCAAGCCACGCCTTCGCCACCGGTGGCAACGGCCTCCACAAAGAGGCCGCGGAAGCTGCAGCCGCCCAAAACCGCGGCTGTAGTGGTGACCGTGTCCCCGGAGGCGGCTGACGGCGGGCTGTCCTACGCGGCCGTGTTTAAAAAGGCCCGGGACAGCCTCGCCAACGACTTTGGGACGGCGGGGGTGAAGATGCGCCTCGCCCAAACGGGAGCTCGAGTTCTCGAGTTCCCAGGGGCTGAAGGCGCCAAGACGGCGGACACTTTCGCTGAGAGGCTGCGGGGTTTATTCGCGACCACAGATGGTGTCAAGATCGCCAGGCCTACCAAGTGCGCGGAGCTGCGCATCTCGGGCCTGGACGACTCTGTGACGGCCGAAGATGTCCGCGCTGTAATCCGGGAGAAGACGGGGTGCAGCGCGGACAACGTCAGGGTCGGCACCATCCGCCCCGGTCCAGGAGGGCTTGGCGCCGTGTGGGTCAGCTGTCCCGTAGCGTCGGCCAAAGTATTGGCCGACGCCGGCAGGCTGCTCGTCGGTTTCGTGAGCGCCAGGATCACAGTCCTGGCGGCGAGACCGATGAGGTGTTACAAATGCCTAGCATCGGGGCACACGCGCGTCAAGTGCCAAAGCTGCTTCGACTGCAGCGGACTTTGTTTCCGCTGTGGTCGACCGGGGCATGTGGCGGTGGAATGCTCTGCCGCCCCTCACTGCCCGGTGTGTGCGGCGGGT